TTGATGGGTATACGAATTTCTTGATGAATTAAATGAATTATCTTGATTATAATTCCCAGGTGAAGCAAACCGCCTTGATTTATTAAATGAATCGTCACTTCTTGGTGTAGATGATCTTGGACCTGAAAATCGTGGAGATTGCCAATTATTTTGTTGATTATATGGTGAATTTCCTCTATATGGTGAGGCACCTTGCCAATGATTACGCGGAGAGTTTTGGCGATGTGGTGTTCCGTGAAAATTGCCGCCTGATCTGTCGTAATTTGTGGGTGAATTAAACCTAGAATTATTCGGAGAAGGTCCTCTAAATGGTCTATTATAGTTACTCATTTTTTTTTGCTTGGCAAATGGTCGAATTTTGATGTTTATATTTTTGGATGAAATTTATTGACTTTTATTAATTTATTGATTTTTTTTTTACCTAAACAGAAAAATATAAAAGCTTACCAATGTATTTGGACAATAATAATAAAATTTAATAATTGAAAATGTATACAGTGAATTTTAATATTTAAAATTTAAAAAGCGCTCAGCAATTATTTGTTAATTTTTATTAAAAAAGTAAATAAAGAAGTAAATCATTTTTTACTTCTTTGATAGGGCGCTTGCGTTAGTTTGTAAACATACATCTGCTTTTCGATCAAAATTTAATCCGGGCAATATAAGATGGCTGAAAATGTTGAAGTTGACGAGTTTCTTAAAATTCTAATAAAACTTTCAGAAAAGGCCGCATATATTAGCAGAGAGTGCCGAGCAAGAAAGGAACTTTTCGAACTATTAGTTGAGGAAAAGTCAGAAATAGTCACAAACAGACGATGCTTCAAAGATTTCAAGACATTGGCAGATGTTTTGATTCAGGAAATGGTCCGACACGAACTAAGCGAAAAGGTAAATCTATTTTTTTTAAACACAACACTTCAAAACTTTCTTTCTATATAAAAAACCACTTTTTATAGCACTTTACAATTTTTGCACTTTGCATATAAGAAATAATTACCTTAATATACATGATACAGGAAACCAAATGTTCTTTGCATATAATTCAAATTCATTTTAAATGTAAAATTCACAACTTCAAACATCCAAAATATTCAGCAATATCTTTGGGGTTTGAATAAAATTCAGATAAATTTATGCATTAAAAAAAACACTAATTTATATTTTTGAACATGTTATATGCAGCATAAATACACCTTAACTATACATAATCATTTGAAAATTTTAAGCTACACTAATAAATGATAAGGTCCAAAAGTATAGTTTCATGGTATATATATATATTAAATTATATTTATTGTTCTTTATATAATTTTACTCTATGAAAGTTATATCTTTTAATAACTTGGAATGTTCAGTTTAGTAATTACTGCTTTATACTTTTGATGTTCTTCATCTTCTGCAGACCTTTTTGAGATGGAAGTTTGTAACGGTAATTTACTTTTATTTATTTTAATGATAAGGTACAATTTGGATTATAGATTATAAACACAAGGTAATAAAACACACTATTTATTTGGTCTTATTACCTTGTGTTTATTTTAAAAAGAGTTAGAGAATATAGATGAAAGAAAAGGATTAGGGCAATATAATGAATGATCACTTCCTGATCATGTAAATGAATGTTGCTAATGGCACTCTTTCTGCCATCTATACACAAACATATATATAAGTACACCCATACTTCGCTTTGCATCGGGGGTTACGTTCCAAAAAAACACGACGCAAATTGAAACGACGCAAAGCGAGGTATTGGTGTACAGTCTCTTTAATTTGACACCTCAAAGGATCTGAACTATCAGTTAACCCTATAAGCGCCACCGCCGGAAGTGCCGGCGTGACGTAATCCGCCATCACCTTTTGTTCGCACAATTGTTTCCTCTGCACTGTTCTTCTTGTTTCCTCATAACTCCAAGAAACACTTTTCAATATTGAAAAACAAAATGATTTTATTATCTAGAAACATTGTTCTTCAAAATTGAATGGCTAAAATAATTGTATTTGCTATATACATTTAGTTATTGATCGGCATATTTACAAGAAAAAAATAACAAAATAAAACAGATAATTTAAATTCAAATAGCAGGTATAAAGGTAAGAGATACAAAATATTTCACTCGGATTAAAATTTATGTACAAAGATTCCTCTTCATTTACAATGGTGATTCAGCGCGCATACTCCATGCAATCCCATTTTACACCCAGAACAAATAGTTCTGGATCTTCTTTTCTCTCCTCGAATCCTACACTCAACGCACTGTCGTTCCTTTTTCTCGGTCAATTTTTCCAATTGAATATTGCTGCTGGTGGTTGCTGATGAAGTAGATCCCTTGATAGTGCCCTCTACAAGGCTATTTATCACTGAGACCTGGTATTTCTGCCTGGTCAGCTTGGGAGAATCACTTGAATGTTGACTGTATAGGATGTAGGAGTTCAGAAGAGCTCTGTGTATTATGTTTATGACAACCTTTCTGTGATGTTTACGGCCCTTTCTCTCGTCCATATAGCAGTACATCATCATATCACTCAGGTCAACACCGCCCATGTATTTATCATAGACGGTTTTGACCTGAGGATATAAATGATGGGGGTCTCTTGAACTACCAGGTTTGGTCTCTGAAACGGCATCACAATAGGTGCTCAGGAAGTTTATTGATTTTCGTTTAGCTTTTTCTTTGTATGCTGCTGCTAGCTGCATATCACTTTTCATATAGATGACTTCATCTACATGTAGGGAGGCTCTTTTCAAAGTTTTGGGGTAGCCTCTACGATTGGACCGTATAGTTCCAGTCAGATAGGTCTGTTTACCAGCTAGGTCTTTGGCAAGGTCCACACTGGTGAAGAAGTTATCCATTACAACATGATAACCCCTTCCTATCATATTTGTGTCGGTAAGGAGTTTCATTGGTACATCATCAGATAGACTTTTAGATATTTCGCTTAATCTACCTTTATATACATAAAACTGGAGACAGTATCCAGTTCTAGCCTCACACAACATCCAGAGTTTTATTCCAAAGCGGCCATGATGTTTGTTTGGCATGTATTGCAATAATCTGGTACGATTTTTCAGACACACCAGACTTTCATCAATACTTAGATGTTGAGTGGGCTTATAATAATATAAAAATTTGAAGTTTACATGATTTATCAAGTCTCTATATTTCAAAGTGGGGTCATATTTAGGGTCAGCGTGTTTAGGCATTTTATATGAATCACAGGTAGTAAAGAAAGAATAAATTAGCTCAAAACGGTTCCTAGACATAACATCAGGAAACCAATTTTGTCTAAAACATCTTTCTTTACTCCAGTAATTCATTATTTGATTCTTGGGATTCAGACCCATGTTGAAAATGATTCCAAAGAATGCCATCATTTCATTTGTGGTTATTTCTTTCCATTTTTGTAGCCTGGAATGTGAAGGTAAAGTTGCGATATTATCTTTCAAGTATTCCTTCACATATTTATTTGTAAATCTCGCAAAATCTCTGAATAAATCTATTGAAAAGAAGAGAAAAAAATAATCGATTGGTTTTTTCAAAGTTGAAGGACAGTGTTGGGGCCCAGTTCTTTCGGAAAAAATAAAGGGTTTGGGAAAAGTAGAAGGGGAATATGTTCTTACCCATATTCTTGAGGAATTATGGTCACCATATTCACTCCCAGTTGGAGTGGAAATGTCTAAATCTTCTGTAGAATCGGAAGTGAGTTCATCAGAGCTAAGTTGATAAATTTCAGTTTCTTCACCACTTTCTGACATCGCTATATAAAGATTGGGATAAGTAGAATCAGATATTTTCTTACAGCAAAAGTTAAATTATAGACTATAGTAACTAGAGGAAACAAGAGAATACGAAAATGGGGGAAAAAAATTGCCCTAACCCCACTTTTTTCCCGCGTCGATGAATCGTGGCAATGGCCGTTGTGCAAACCTAGGCTAAAGTCGATAGATCGTTGCGTGGCGCGTAAAGGGTTAAATTAGTACAGGTGGCCTTGTACAGGCCATGATAATCATGGTAGGTAGAAGAAGGCGACTGCTTTTTTTTTTTTTTTTTACTGTAAGCGCACCACATGTCTACACATGTGAAAGCAGTTCGACTTTGCACTTACAAATGTGCCAGAGCCCCGTTTGGTTACTTGCACTCGCTGGTGGGGTTGGACTTTTGCAAGAATCGGGGGGGCCATTGGAGCATTTAAATTTTTTTTTTTTTTAAGAGAAAAAAGTGTCCAATGCGGGAATCGAACCCGGGTCGTAGTGGTTGAAAACCAAATGGTTTAACCAGCCTTCCCTTAAGAGGACACCTCTCTTTTGGCTCTGCAACTAGGTGTTGTCTTCTACAGGGACGTATTTCTAGTATATATACTCATGGACAAATGAAATGGAAAAGTCTTTGATGTCTGAGTCATCTATTTAAAAAAAAAAAATTTTTATTGAGACAGAAGCAATTTTGTTCACACTTGGTTATCTTGTGTGTCTTCTATAAAGGTCACTGTAATATCTTGCAGAGTTATTGTCTGAATCCCGATATACATACAATACTTAAGGAAGTTTTACCTTTCAGCATGTATATATCTGGATTCAGACAATAACTCTGAAAGATATTACAGTGACCTTTATTGAAGACACATGAGATAACCAAGTGTGAAAAAAAAATTGCCTCCGTTTCCTTTGTCTCCTTAAAAAATAATAAATTTCAGAGTTTTTAGCTGAATCCCGATATTCATGCTAAAAGGTGCAAGGTTAAACTGGACGAGATATTATCACTGGCGGATTCCAAAAGTGCTAATATCATTTGTCTGCAAGAAACCAAGCTTAAGCCCAACCACCTTTTTAAGGTAAAGGGCTTCAAAATACTGAGAAAAGACAGGCCTTCAGCAGATGGAGGAGGAGGGCTCCTGACCCTCATTTAAGAGATAAGAAAGAAGAAGAAGAAAAGATGCTAAAAGGTACAACTTCCTTAAGCAATCCTTTAGCAATCTTCTCCAAAGATAATAAACTTAGCATATATTCTCCTCCATAACAAAGTTTTCCTTTAAAAAATATCACTAATGGTAATGTGCAAAACTAAAATATATTTTTTTACTTATCCTTTTAGTCAAAATTAGACAAAATCTTAGAGGTTGTGCTCATAAAGAAGCTCAAGAACTCTTCTTGGTTCTCTGTACAGGGATCTCTTGTCCTTTCCAATACAATTTAGTATATTATATAATACACTGCGGCCTGTGATTGTAAAACAACACTTGAAGTTACACCGCATGAGTTTCTTTTCAATGAAAAATCAAAATTTATTTCAAGGTGAAATATTGACTATTTCTAACCTTTTTGGATGAGGTATGAAAGGGTGAATTATGAAGAGTAATGATGAACGGAAAAATAAAAGTGTCCAGGGATGGGAACTTCCCTCATCCAAAAAGGTTAGAAATAGTCCATATTTCACCTTGAAATAAATTTTGATTTTTCATTGAAAAGAAACTCATGCGGTGTAACTTCAAGTGTTGTTTTACAATTTAGTATATGTTGGGGAGTGGCCTCTTTGGTTTTGCACCTAGTGTACATGGGGAAGCTTTTGGCTCCCTCTTTATAGACTAGAGGGCGCAGGTGACCAGATTTCCATCTGGTCAACTGTGTCGACTCCCTTCTGTTTAGTTGGAGGGTCTGTTTTTTGGGGTTTTCTACCTGGTACCAAGAATGATGGAATTAATATATAATATAATGATAATAAATATTATTACAGTAGAACCAACCTCCATGAGAGAGGACACTCTATCTAGAAGAAACCTCTCTACAAAGGATAGATTTCAAACACAAGGTAATAAGACCAAATCCAAATAAATAAATAGTGTGTGAGGTTTCGGTAACAGCGTTGTTACCATATTCAGTGCTTTTGTCTGAAGATGGTAACAACGCTGTTACCAAAATGTCACACACTATTTATTTTTGGTCTTTTACCTTGTTTTTATAATCTATAATCCAAATTGTGCCTTATCAAGGATAGATTTCATTTGCCAAAATAATTATTTAGTCTTTTGTCTGAGGATGATAACAACGCTGTTACCGAAACTGTCACCCACTATTAATTTATTTGTATTTTGTCTTTTTTTTCGCTTGTAGTTCTAATCTATAATCCAAATTGTGTCTTATAATGCCTTTTTTTTTACTCTTTTACTGCCCTCTGGTAAGAGGACACCTCTCCCCAAAGGAAACTTTGGCTCTGAAATTGAACTTTACAGAGAGCTAGTTCTACTTTATTTGATAATAAGACTGGCACAGTAGTTCCATATGTACAACGGGCAAGTGGCTAGTGTTAATTAAATATGGGCATTGCTTGTAACCCAAGAAGTAGGAGTGAGGTAGTTCAAACAGCTGGGATATGTGGAATGTCATCCACAGAGCTGCCTTGTCATCTCTTGCAAGCTGTTGTATTGTCAGCTCCAAGATGCCATCACTACTTCACCCTGTCACATCTCTGTAATCTTCCAGACTAATATTTTATTATAGGAAATGAAGGTATTTAAGCTTGTGAATATTTCTCTTTAACATAAAATAAACTTATACTATCCTTAAACACAAGGTAATAAGACCAAATCCAAATAAATAAATAGTGTGTGACATTTCTGTAACAGCGTTGTTACCATCTTCAGACAAAAGTACTGTCTGTAAAGTTCAACACCCAATTTCAGAGCCAAAGTTTCCTTTGGGCAGAGGTGTCCTCTTAACATAGGGCAGTAAAAGAGTAAAAAAAAAGAAGGCAAGACACAATGTACATTCAGTACTTTTGTCTGAAGATGGTAACAACGCTGTTACCAAAACGTTACACACTATTTATTTATTTGGATTTGGTCTCATTTTCCTTGTGTTTGACCACTGAAGTGTTTGTTGGCCAGTTTCCCATCCTGGGCCCAAAGATCTACGGGGAAGAGTCCAACCAGTTCACCAACCTGCTCCAGCAGACTGTGACGCTGGAGGTGTCTGCGGACCAAGACAAGACCTTCCGTTGTCTCCTGGAGGTGCTGAATGGAGACATCACAGTGGCCAAACTGCTGACCAATGCCGTGTACTCCACCGTGGACGTGGAACCCACCGTTGACTGCTCCATCGCAGATCTCTCACTGTCTAATATAGGGATATGGATTGACCCTATTGGTGAGTCTACTGTTGTTGACAACACCCGTTTCTCTCCGGATTCTCATCTCTCCACGCCAATACCTAATTGCAGAGCCAAAAGTGTCCTTTAGAACAGCATTCCTTGATTTCCAGTCTGGTCATCTATGGACAATGACTTATCAGAATGGTTGCAGGGTTTTCCCACTATGTACTAAGCGTCAACCTGCAACCCCAAACCACATCATTGACTCAAGAAAATAAGACCTAATCCAAATAATTTAATATTAGTTTATATAATAGTTATATATATTAGTTATATAAGTTTAATATAAATTATATATTTTTAATTAGTTTAATATGAATAATTTAATAATTAAACTATTTGGATTAGGTCTTATTTTCTTGTGTCTATAATCTATAATATATTTGCCTTATTCTGTCTGTTTGTTTGTCTGTCTGAAGCTCACGGATGGGATTTTTCATAACCATCGGTGGTTCAGTGGTAGAATGCTCGCCTGCCACGCGGGCGGCCCGGGTTCGATTCCCGGCCGATGCATTTTTTTTTTTTTTTTTTACAATTTTTAAAACTCATTTATATATTATACAAGAATGACATCCACGGCGCCAATTTATAATTGTAACGAATAGTATTTGAATAAAAGCATTTAATCGGGGTAAAACCCGGGCGTTGCCCGGGTCATTCGTATATAATAATTGTATAAACGAATGCAAGACAAAATCACCGCGAATGTTTCTTTTTTTTAAGGCAATTATCGTTATTTATCGTTAATTTTTGTTTCGATTTTATTGAAAAAAAAAACAATATGGTGCCTTTAAAAAATGATCTTTATTACTATGCAGTTTTCTATTTAGTCAATATACCTAAGTTCATGTTGCAAATGTAATTATCTCTATCGATTTAGTAGGTGAAATGCAAAAAAAAAAATCGACATGATGAAATCTTTATGAAAATTCACATTTTTATTTTTATATTTTCAAGACACACACAGTTTGGGGCGGGACGTTTCACAAGAGAGACATCCACGGCGCCAATTTATAATTGTAACGAATAGTATTTTAATTAAAACATTTTAAAAACACACAGTTTGGAACGGGACGTTTCACAAGAGTGACATCCATGGCGCCAATTTATAATTGTAAGGAATAGTATTTGAATTAAAACGTTTTTAAAATATATACGCACTCGGGTAAAACCCGGGTGTTGCCCGGGCCATTCGTCTAGTAATCTATAATCCAAATTGTGCTTTATCACATCATTGACTGTAGTGACGAGTCTATTGATAAGCTCTACTCATCCCCAGCTGACATCATCTCACACTCTACAGGCACAAAGATACCCTGATATGATTGAGTGGAGATAAGAAAGAAGAAGTCTACTTTAGGGAGAAGTGTCCTCCCTTACCATAGAGAAGATAATTTGTAAAAAAATATTGAAATATTTGTGCCTATTACATTGCCAACAAGCAAAACAAACAAACAAATTAGAACTTTGAATTGAATATTTACAAATTTACTTTGTAAACACAAGGTAATAAGACCAAATCCAAATAAATAAATAGTGTGTGATGTTTCAGTAACAGCGTTGTTACCGAAACATCACACACTATTTATTTATTTGGATTTGGTCTTATTACCTTGTGTTTATAATCCAAATTTGTACCTTATCAAATTTACATGTATTAATCGACAGAGTTCATAAAAGTTATATAGAGAAAGTGGCTGATGTAAGAGAGTTAAATCATTTAGATCAGGGAACAATCGATGTCTCACATTTTCTCACAAGTTCAGACAGTCATAGATAAAGATGGAGAGCAGTTTTTGTTCAGTAAACAAGATGGTTGAGTGTGTTACAGATGGCACCAATGAGTACATCTCCGGCAAAGACGTCGTTGACAACTTTGGCATTCCTCTCAGCGGACTGCGATGTGTCAGTGTTCTCATTGGTGTGTTTGACACGAGGTCCGGGGTCCCGCTTATTGGAGTGGTCAACCAGCCCTTCTGCCAGCTGCTTCCTGGAGGCAACGAGTAACTTTTCTTTTTTTTTTAACTTTCACTCACACCCATGCTGGTTGTACATACAGTATTCTATATACAGTTACGAGCGTCATCAATTCTTTTTCATCTCTGTCACCGTTTGCTTTTTTTTTGGAATGGCGCTCTCCTATTGGTTGGCT